CCAACCCAGGCAACTGGCTTCAGCCCATCACAAGGATGGTGTAGGATCCTAGCTATAAATCAGGGGTTGCTGCACAGCATCTCATTTAGACCATGTTGCATCCTACAACTGGATCAATTTGCTCTCAAGAAACTGGCTGCAGTCTTATGCTGTGTTTGAAAGGCCAGTCTGGGAGGAAAACAAGCAGAATCTTAAGGCTTAAGGACTAGACTGAGACTACTTCTCTGACCACCTACACAGATAATCTTAAAGTGAAACACTCCTTTGGCTGTAACCTTTTACAGACCCTTAGTGCAAGACACTCCAGTAAACAGGGCTTTAGTTAAGGTGTTCAGGGTTGAAATCATAACCCAGCAAAAACTGGAAGAACTTCCACTGGCTTTAGTGAGCTTAATACACTGATCTGTCATGTCCAGCATGATTTATGTGAAGCCTTTTCTTCTCTGCAAATTAATTTCAGATTTCAACAGAAACAAATTTAGGCAAATATGCAACCTGACTTCTGAGTTTACAGTTAGTTAATCATTTCCAATGACATTCACTAGAGAGAAATTATGGAGAACTTTATAAATTAGATTCACCTTCTACAGCTACTACATCAAGCTTGGCATTTAGCAATCTGGGGCATTACTGAACTGAAGAAGAGAATTAAAATTCACCATAGTCAAAAATAAGCCAATGAGGTTACAAACCCCACTAAAATACCAGTCAGCCACAGCTATTGCATACAAAACATTGTCATACCTGTATGACTTCGGACGCTTGCCTGAATGTACGTAAATAATACTGTAGCTCCCAGATATTTCTGTTGTATTGCTGCCTTTCTGCATTTTCTAAATGTACCTTTGTATGTTTAAGTATCCACTGTGAATCACTTTACATTATCTCAACTAAATTTCATTTTAGCAACGTTATTTATTTTACCCTCCTCTGTCATTTATCAAAGTGGTTTTGTAGTCTACTATATCCTCTAAGGATGCATAATCCCTACCAGCTTTATATCACCTTAATATTAGGTTGGTAAGTCTCTCCACAGTTGTTAATTGACCTCTCTGGTATCCTATTCAAAGCATCCTCCCAAGATAATGATAAAGTATTACAATTACCTCATTTTTAATTTTTATTAATCTTTTTACAGTTATCACAAGATATACATGCAGCATTACCTTTGAGAAAGCAATGTGGTTTCCATTTTGAAGTCTTTATAAAACAATGACCTCATGTAAGAAAAAAAAGTTGTTTTGATTAATTCATGCTGTTTAAAATGTATATAAGTGTACATAATCAGAAGTTGTGCTTATTTTTTTATAAGCATTATGAAAGTCTGTATTTGATGTACAGTGGTTTGCAGTCCCCTAGGTCTTCTGTTGTTCTTCACCTCTGGCCTGTGTTATGTGACAGTCAGACTATTTGATTGATCAGGTCATCTTGGCTTTAGCACTTAGTCATTTTCTGTTGCACAGGAATACTTCGGTGAACTCAAGTGCCAAAAATTCACTACCTTTGCAAAAATGACTACCAGTTATGACTGTGAGATAACTGAATTTTTTTTTTAAATTAAGATACATTTTGTGGGAATCTGTTCAAGCTCTCAAATACCACCCTAAGAAGCTATGTAAGGTGCTAGAGCCTCTGCATGAATCCTGACCGCTTCTAATTCACGAGAACTAGTTCACAGCTGCAACTGTGAAAGTAGACATTGTTCATGGGAAAAATGCACACACCTGACAAAGGACAGACCTACCCCACCACATCCAAAGTTTAGAGTATTCTTATCCCAAAATGTCCAACCTGTGTCCTTCTGGGCAGCTGAAAGAGTTGCAAGTAACTGAAGACAAAAACAGATTACATTTTCAGGGGAGGAACTCTTCATTCCTCATTCAGCTGCACAAGAGCGCTGACAGGTCTCAACAGGCACAAAGCAGATGCCCCATAGATGTCTAACTAGCACTTCTTGCTGCATGTTGATATTCATAAGAGCTGTTTAATCTTCCTTTCCTGAGCAAAATTGGCCACTGCCCAATGATAAGATAAAGGGTGAAAACCAACTGCATAAGAGCTGACCCCAGCTAAAACTGAAATTATTTGTATGGGTGTTTGAGACACAGTGAAGGCTTGCATCATTGGTGCCACTGCCTTTTTTTAAAGTTCCATACCAACAATCAGTTAATTCAGTTTCTAATTTGAGACTACTTCTAGTCTACCTGCTGATGGTAAGCTCCTTTAAAGCAGTGACTAAAGCATACAACATTTCTGGTTGGCCAAGAAAGCCTGAACCACCCTGCACCAGCACCAATGGATTAGGTTTCAGCTGGCCTCATTTCTGCCACTTCTTGCGTAGATTGCAAGCAATATGGTATAATTAGTTACCGACCCTTAAGAAACTTCAAAAATATGTTCCAGTACTTCAGGAAATTCCATCACATCCCTTCAGCAGCAGAGACTACTGTAAGTCAAAGCAGTCTCCTGCTTTTGGCACTGGTTTCCCATAGCAATGCCAAGTCAATTCACAGCATCAGAGAACTATTAAGTGTAAAAAGATCCCCAAGATCATCAAGTTCAAGCCAGTTTTTGACCCAGTGAAGAGTAGTACACTTGTCCAAGCCACGGGCTGCCAGCTTCTCCAGGAGAATGCTGTGGGAGACAGTATTTATGGCTCTACTGAAGTCCAGGTAGACTCCATCCACAGCCTTCATCACTACGTGGGTCACCTGGTCATAAAACAAGGTCAGGTTAGTCAAGCAGGACCTGCCTTTTCTAAACCCATGCTGACCTGGGCCTGATCCCCTGGTCGTCCTGTACATGCTATGTGATGACACTCAAGATAAACTGCTCTGTAACCTTCCCTGGCACTGAGGTCAGGCTGACAGGCATGTAGTTCCCAGGATCTTCCTTCCAACCCTTCCTGTAGATGGGCATCACACAGGCCAACCTCCAGTCATCTGGGACCTCCCCAGTTAACCAGGATTGATGATAAATGATGGAGAGTGGCTTGGTGAGCTCTTCCACCAGTTGATTTGACTCCCAGTTCTTACAAGTGCTCTGAGATCCAGATCTTTTAAAAATCCACCTAAAGTTCTGTGATGAGATTTGGCTGGCAGCTTTGAGACTTGGCTGACAGCTTTGCTCTTCAGGTAAACCAAGTTTTCGATTATAAGGTGCAGTTATTTGCACAAGAAATTGAGCTTTCTTTCACAAAGATCTTTAGTTTGTGAGATTAATTGCCATGCAAACTGAATATCATCAAAACCTGCACCTGATTTTTTGATGCATGCTCAAGGCATGCTTTTGAGGCTCTATGTCCCTAGTATAAACACAATCAGTGTGAGGGAGCATTGACAAAAGCTGTAGCAGGGAGAGGAATCAAAGCTGGTCTGTATTGGTTGATGTTGGTCCATCGGAGTAGCTAGTGAGCAGGTAAAGACAAATGTGTTCCAGACATCAGAATTTCTTAAGTCAGTTCCTCCAAACTATGCCAAAAACGTGGGAGGAGATGCTGCAGAAGCAGGAAACAAATCTGCCTTTCCTCCAAATAAGGTCAAAGAAGAAGGAACTATCAAACAATGTGAGACGTGAGTTTGATAAAGGATTCTGTTCCCCCAACTGCAGTTCTAGCATCCAGCCTTACTGCTTGCCCTCTTACAATCTTTCTTGTGCTTTCTTGATGGGGATTTTTTATTCCTTATTAAAACAATGTACACTGTCAAGACCAAGGCTGGACCTTCCTGAATATCACATTTCAAAGAAGTTCCAGTAGACCTTGAACACCTACAGGGTTGGGGGTTGAGGGGTTTCTTGGCTTGGGTCATCAGCTTTGATCTTGGACTGAGTGGGAGTAGCTGGATCCTAAGGAGCGCAGCAGCTGGCATGATGGTGACTAAGGGGTGTTGGAAAGGCTGAATGGGCTTCATTAATCTCCATGAAGAGGAGGAGGAGAAGGGCAAGGCAGGTGATGGTGGGAGGTAGCAGAGGCATGGGCACGAGAGGCAGACTGAACTATATGACAGACTCACAGCTCAACCACACAGCTGTGGCTGCATCCAGGTGAGCTGCATCTCCAAATACGTTTGCTGAAACAAGGTCTGACAAACCAGGGCATTCCCAGTAATTTCTTGTTCTCGATGTCAGTATGCACAGCTCATACACTTCAAATGAATCTGAAGGAGGGTTATGTGTGAGAGTGACATTGAGTACATCTAAGCATGACAATGTGGCAACTTGAATTAAAATGAACTTTCAGTTTATAGAGAGTGGATGGGGAAACAAGGATATATAGATGAAATCACCTCTACACTGCTGATCCTGACATCCAGTTAAAATGCTGGTACCTGCACTTGAAGAGGATGCTAAAACATTTCCAAGCAACAGCAGAAAAAACGGCACAAAAACGAGTGAGGGAATGTGAAAGGTAATTTATGGCGAGAAGCTGAAGAAGCTCAACCTGTTTGGTTTACCAAGAAGAGGACTGAGATGACTTGATGATAATACACATCTTTAGGAGCAGTCACCAGACATCACATAATGGTCTTCAAGGAAAAGGCAGAAATTCCTGAGTGTGAACTAAAGCCTGACAATCCTGGTTAGAAATGAGGAACACATTTTTAATCAGGAGGGCAAGAGCAGACACTAGAACAATGTGCTAAGCCTTTAGCTCATCAGGTCTTCAGGCAGTGTTTCTGTCCCAAAGGCATGCATTAGCCACATACAAAATACACTGCCACTGCTACTGACAAATCCATCCCCGAACATCATGTCACTTTTATCCCCAAACTCTCAGGAGCACCTGAAATTGGCTGGTTACCACAGTATTGCCTCCCCTCCAATTCCTGCCCTCTGTGGCACGTGTGTGTTTCTTGATGTCCACCTCACCGCAACCCTTCCCGTGTCCACTGGACAGCCGGTGCTCGCACACTGCAGGTAACACGACTGCTTCTATCACCGAACAAGCACCTCTTCCCCCCCCCACTGCTCTGGGGCAGCCGCCATCCCCGCTCTTCTCGATGAACACCCGCACTCACTTGCTTTCCTCACAACCCTCAGGAGACACCGCGAAGAGAACTCCCCGCAGGGCGCACCTCCCGGAGGGAGACTCCCGCGCTCTCTCCGGGTGCGGGTGTCCCGGTGCCGGGGCGACGCTGGGTGGCCCGCCGTCCCGCGGTGCCGGCCCTGCCCGTGCCGGTGCCCGGTGCCCGGCCCTGCCCGGCGCCCGCCGCAGGGCTGGGCGCGCGTGTCTCCTGTGGAAATCCCGGCGCCTCCACTCCGCCCGCGCGGTGTCCGTGGGCTGGGGCCGGGCGGGGAGCAGCCCCGGCCGCCGCCGCCCCGCCCGCCATGCCGCAGCCGTAGGCAGCCGCGGCCGGTCCCAGCCCTGGCCTCCGCGGCCTCCGGGCCGATGGGCCAGCCTGCTGAGCGGGGTCAGCTTCAAGGAGCCCACCACGGTGGAGGACTGCGATTCACCTGGGAGACCGACTCGGAGCCCGAGGCGGCGGAACCGCGGCGGGCAGGAGGGGTGTGCGCCGCCGCGGAGGCGGGGAAGAGCCGGCGACCGCCCGCCGCCGACTGCCGGCCCCGGGAGCCCCCGCCGCCCCGCCGGAGGACGGGGAGATCAGGCAGAGCCGGACGCCGCCGGCCCCGAGCAGGTACCGTCAGCGCCGGGCGCCCCCGCCCCCTGCCCGGGCCTGCGGCCGGAACGGGGGCGGCGGGGCCGGGCGAGCCAAGCGAGCTCCCGGGCCGGGCAGCCCCGGTACCGAGCCCCGGGGCCGGAGAACGGGCGGGGCTGGGCCGGGCCGAGCCGAGCCGAGCCGAGCCCCGGGCCGGGCAGCCCCGGTCTTCCCCGCCCTGCGGCACTGGCGAGCCCCGGGACCTGCCCATCGCACGGAGCGGCTGGGGATAGATAACCCAGCTGTGCATCTCCAGTGGGGATGCGCCCGTTTTTATCCCCACTCTGAGAAAACTGAGGCCTTGAAGTCGTTGTCACTCCCGCTGCTGCTGTTTTCCAGGGAAGGTTCTGACTTAAATGTAGTATGTAACTTGGCCTCTTAATTAAACTGGATACAAATCTGAGTATTGGATCGTATGTGGCAGTGGATTTGTGACTCCTTGGAGGGTGTGAGGAATTTTTAGAGCAAGTTTCTGTTCTGTAGGGAGCTTTGGAAATGCCGACGCAAAAGAAATAAAAAATGTATCTTTGACAGTAATTTTATGCGACTTAGAACTCAATGCAGGGTGGACCAGCTGGGTCGGTTTTTGTAGCTTGCTAGATGTATGGTGTTTATATTTGGTTCAGAAATGTGCAAAATTAAATAAGCATAAGCATCTTTCCTTTTCTGCTTGATACCTGGTAATACTACTGCTAAATAACTGAGTGTCAAAGGGTGTTGCTTGTTCGAGCAAGCTTACTTTGCCTGAAGGTAGGTCAAAGCTGGTCTTTCGAAAGGAAGAATGGAAAAAGATGTTTGTTTGTCATTAATGTGGAATTGATAAGCCATGGAACGGGCAACAATAAAGGCAAATGCCCAGTGCAGCCAAAGGGAAGTTCCCTTTTTAGGCTTGACTTTAACCTATTGCATGTGTGTTGCAAGGAGTGGAATTAATTTTTTTCAGTGACTCTTCATTTCTTCCACAGGGTGCAATAATAGCAAGTAAGTCTATGTACACATGACAAATAGTATGATTTCCTGTTCAAAACTAGTAGTGTCTCTGCATGTTCAGTTACTTATTTCATCTTGTACTAGCACTTGCTAGGTTAGTTTGAAGTCTTGCATTTGGAAATTACAGTCAACCTGTTGATTTAATTCTGATTCAGCCTTGTTGGAAGGATATTTCATAGTCTTGCTTTTGTATTTTGTATTAAATTTTTTAATTTAGGTTTAAAGTGTGTGGTGTTTACACTTTAAAGTGTAAAGTATTGAGTAGGGAGATTTTCAGTGTTTGACCAAACAGACGGCAAATACATGCACTTGCATTTGTTTACATTGCTGAAATCCATCATGAAAAGTAATTATTTTAATATTACACAAATTCACTATTTAGTGTGTTTGTGTATGATGGTTATCTGCTTTCTGACTGTTTCAGAATGGTGATGGAACTGAGCTGACAGCCAAGCCAAAGAGAAGCTTCTACGCAGCAAGAGATTTATACAAGTACCGACACCAGTACCCAGTAAGAATATTTTAGGGGTTTAAATTGCCTCTTTAGTAGAAGGCAGCATATAACCCAAACATTCCTAAACCTTTGTGTTGCCTAATAAATATAAGAAATGGGAATCAAAAAGCTGGTACAGAGGCCCAGCGTATGCTGGTGGGAGAGGAGCAAAACTGTGCAATGTCTTTTCATCCTGACCATAAGCGCACACACATAAGATGTGTAAGCATGGGAACAGCGGTAGGAGCCCAGGAAAAGGTTTGTGCCTTGAATGTTAAGGAGGGTAGATTATAGAAGTTTGGATGACTTATTATTTGTCTCTCAAGTTCCTTGAGACTGAAGTAAAGGTGCTGCTATGCTTGCTGCTGCCTCAGTAGGAGAAGGTACCAGCCAGAAAGAACTTGCTGATCCTTAATCTCAGTCTTTAAGTGCATGAGTAAAACTCTGTGGTTACTAAAACTCCAAAATTTTTCTGTCCTTAAATTATTCAAAGAGCACAGTGTCACTTTCTGGATAGTCTTGATAGGTTTTTGTAGGCTAATAATGTCCTATTTCCTTTCTTTTAGCAGAATTTTAAAGATCTTCGATATCAAAATGACTTGTGCAATCTCCGGTTTTACAAAAATAAAATCCCATTTAAGCCTGACGGTGAGTAATCTGCAACAATTAACGCTGATAGCAAAAGAATGCTCATTAATGATAGTAGCAAGCTGAAACAGTCGTGATAATTGTGGCACTGCCAAATTCAAGGTGTATAGTAATATATTGTACAGCGTGAAGCTCCCATGTTGGAGTAGCACATTCATAACACGAGTGGGTTATGCTTAAAACAAAGATAGCTTTCACTGTAGGGAGGTGGTGCTTTTCTTAGACGTTTTCAGCATGATGCAGTACAGGGCGTTGTTTGTACCGCCATTTTTACAGTAGTGGCACTACCTTTTATTAAACAAAGATAAAGCTGTTCCACTATATTGCACAGATTGTTGCTACTTGAGTAGGAGTGGCAGGGACCTGGGTGTTATCCTTAGAGCTGTGTAAGGGGAAAAGAATGTTTTAGTCTTGTGTGAAATTATGGCAATAACAATAATAAAGTCATTTTTCCGTGTCCCTAGTTGTTCCCGTAGTGGAGCGGGAACCTGATATGCAGCATTCTGTACAAACACAGGACAATCTGAAAGATGACAAACCCTGCTCTAGAGAGTTTGCAGTCGATGTGTGAGAGACAAGAGGGTAGGAGGCAGATGGGGAAGCAGGAGGAGGCAATAAAGCAGCCTTGGTTAGTATGATAGACAGGAGTCTCGGCACATGAGAGTTTAGCCATTAGCAAAAAAAGACAAATTGAAGGCCAAAAATAAGCTTTTCAGAGTTATAGAAGAATGATGAGCAAGTTACTTTGAAGGTGTTTGCAGAAAGATCCTCTCAGTGTGAGAGCAGCTTGGTGGGAAACAGCGAAGTGCATGTTGGAGTACAGAAGGAGTGAGATGTGTAGGCTGCCTCTGAGGCAGGATCCTGTCAGAAGCAGGATCAGTCTCATAGCAACAAATGGGTTGTGATAAGGTAGTAAGGGACAGGTCACAAAGGCTTTGGAAGTGAAGGTGTATAGTTTTCTTTTTTTGAAGTTATAGAACAGGGCTTTGCAATGGAAAAATGCCCAGCAGAAAAAAAGAGGCAGTATAAAAAGATGCATTCTAAAAACATGATCTTACCAGCAGCATTCAGGGTAGATGTAAGCATGACAAGAAGGCACTTTTTAAGATCAGGAAAAAGGATATTGAGATGCAAAATGTCAGAGTTCTGATAGGAAGCAGGATGGAAAGAAATGTTATATGGCAGGATGTAAAGATGTGCATATAGGAAGGTTGAAGATGAGAGCTATTTATAGACAAAATAGTCATAATATCCTCAGCAGGTAAGAAAACAAGTCAGGTTGTGAAAGAAAGATAAGACCTTTGCTTTAACCAGCTTGAGCTTTATCTAGATACCCATAGGCAGATGCTGTGTTTTTAGCTTGCCTGGAAGAAAAGATAGTTCTGTGAATTGCCAGTAAAGATGTAACAAATTCAGAAAATAATACACAGAGAACAGATACTGAAAGAAAGAGAAGGACAGTGAGGTCTGTGTGAACCTGAGGACCATGTGGATCTGAAAGTAAAAGCCAGAAAAGGTTGTGGGGGAGGAGTCCTCTAAAGTGCAAAAGGAAGGAGAAATTCAAGAGGATTAGCCAAAAGAAGAGAGAGTCATGAAAGCTACAGGAGGACTCCTGTCCTAAAATTTATAAAGAATAACGTTTAATATTTTAGGAGAAAACCACAATTAAGAGTGTCAAAGGTAGCTGATAAACCATGGAGGCTGAATCCTTGGTGCCTGTGAGCTCTGGTTATGTAGAAGTTTGTATTGAGAATGGGAAAGAGTAGCCACCACCTTGACTTGAGTCTGTGGATCTGTGAGAGTGTTCAAAGGGAGTCTTAGCTACCATGTAAGGGACTGAAATACTGGGGAATGTTGTTTAAAAAAATACAGTTCTAGTGCAATACTAGATTTGAAGTTTAGTTCCATGGCCTACAGATTTAACGTGTTGTTCTGACTCAGAGCTGGCCTGTTTGTCTCTGCGCTGGAATTGAGCAGCAAGTTTTCCAGTAGAATCATAGCATGCTGAAGGGTTGAAAAGGACCTTAAGGATCATCTGGTCCCAATTTCCCCTGCCATGGCTAAGGACATCTCCCACTAGACCAGGTTGCTCAAGGCCTTATCCAACCTGGCCTTGAACACTGCCAAGGCTGGGGCATCTACAGCCTCCCTGGGCAACCCCTTCCAGCATCTCACCACCCTCACAGTTAAGAATTTCTTTCTAATATCTAACCTTAATTTCCCCTCTTTCAGTTTGCACCTGTTATTCCTTGTACTATCACTACAGTTCCTGATGAAAAGTCCCTCTCCTGCTTCCCTGTAGACCTCTAGATACCTCTAGAAGGTTGTTATGAGATCTCCATGCAACCTTCTCTTCTCCAGGCTGAACAGCCCCAACTTTCTCAGCCTGTGTTTGTAGGAGAGGTGCTCCGTGCTCCAGTCCTCTTATAAGCTTCATGGCCCTCCTCCGGATTTGCTCCAACAGTTCCATGTCCTTCTTATACTGCAGGCACCAGAACTATTTCAATGCTTGAAATATAGGTTGGATACGGTGTGTTGATGGTGGAAGGTCCTCCTTCCAAGGTTCTTTCCAGTCTTGCTTGCACTGGAAACCCCATGTTCTTAGCCGCCCCTTTGACTGGCTGCTTTCTTGGTTTCTTGAGGAAAAGTATCCAATGAGTTCTCCTTTGTCATTGAGACCCAATTTGAAGTTTTCACTGCAGGGAAGAGACATCTCAAATGTATAATAGGAGACTATCTACGTGAGACTTCGGGCTTTTCAGGCTGCTTCTGTGCTGTTTGGCTTGGGAAGAGGCCGTGTGGCTGTGCTAAAACTGTTGTTGGTTTCAGAATAGAAACAGAGCAACACAGTGCTCATTCATGGAAAGATATTGTACAGGTTTGGGAACAAGGAGCATCCTGTTAAGTATCTTGTGTATTTATGCAGTACCTGGAAAAGTGCCCTGGCCCATGACTGCGTTTCATGAGCATGGTCTCTATGTGATGCTTGGCCACAGCTAATTGAGAAAGATTTCCCAATCATAATATTATTTGCAGCTGGAGAGATTCCTGCTATGGGAGATTTCATAAGGAGTTGAGGCTTTGTTCTGCAAATGATAGATGCATGGATAGATAGATAGATAGATGGATGGGATAGACAGATAGATAGATAGATGGATAGGTAGATTGGGTAGGTAGATGGATGGATAGGTAGGTAGATGGATGGGTAGATAGAGGGTTTTGTCGAGTAGAAGCAATGACGGGTGATTCACAAAGCAGTATTTATGGAAGTGATTTGTTAATTACCAGTGCGATAAAGGAAATAGGACATGAGAACTTTGGGGGAAGTACATTTTACAAAGGTTATTGTCACATACTTCTGCTTGTTAGTAACTCAGTATAAGTCAGTTGGTTTTCTTATATTGACATTTCATAAATAACTTATTTTTAATTACATTTTAGTAACTAAATTAATTTTACATTAAAATTAATTTATTTATAGCTGTAGTAGATCTTATTTCACATAGTATTTGAAAGAGAATTAAAGTATGTATTCTATCATTATGTTAACATGGTATGTACTTCATGTAGCTGAGTGCTGTTTTTGATGGCTACCTAACAGTTTTCAAATTATTTTTATGCAGGGGTTTATATTGAAGAAGTCCTAAATAAATGGAAAGGAGACTATGAAAAACTGGAACATAACCACACTTACATACAGTGGTTGGTCTCTTATTACCTATTTCTGTTTTAAAGCATTAATTTGATTAAGTGTTCATATACAGAGCTATAATGTACCTCTTCTTTTAACAGGCTTTTCCCACTGAGGGAACAAGGTCTGAACTTTTATGCTAAAGAATTAACTACATATGAAATTGAGGTAATACAAATTGAGCTGAATACAAACCATGACATTAATTTTGGTATATAACTACTTTTTGTTATGTAGAGTTGTCTTACACAATGCAGAAGTACTTGCTTTAGTGCCACTTAGAATTTTGGACGTATTCTTTGTCTATTAGGAATTCAAGAAAACAAAAGAAGCAATTAGAAGATTCCTTTTGGCTTACAAAATGATGTTGGAGTTTTTTGGAATAAAACTAATTGATAAAACTGGAAATGTAGCACGAGCTGCTAACTGGCAAGAAAGATTTCAGCATTTAAATGAGTAAGTAATGACATGCACTCCAGTTGCTAGAATTGCCATAGAATCTCTTTAGCCTTTTGTTTTCTAGAAGAAGATATGTTTTCCAAAGATTGCCAGAAAAAAAGAGAAAAATAGTCAATGCCTTATTTGTGCCTGTATGTGTACGTTCCTCCTTCACCTTTTTTTGTGCTGCTCCCCCATTACCAGCTTGACTGACGTCACTGAATTCCCTGAAAATACTACTTGAGGTGGTGCTGAAGGATATCCCAGCTACAAATTAATTTGTCCTGCCACTGAATGCATTTTCACCCAAATCCAAAGTGCTGCTTCTCAGCTGAAAGAAAATGAGTGGCTTATCCCTGTATTCACATTTCTTTTTGAGAAAGATCAAATTCTCCATACCTGTATGAAAGCTGAATACCAGCATTTTCCTTCCTCCTCCAAACACAAAATACTGTGTATTTAATACTTTTTAATTGCAGTGCTTATCTGGAGAGGTTTAGCCATGCTTTAATTCAAACTTTGGCTCAATGTTCAGCAAGTTGTATCTGTTGCTTTTCATTGGCATTTTGTGGAGCCTAACTTTGTACTGAATTTTGTCCCATGTGGATTAATTGTATCAAAATCTCTTTTCAAATCTCGTGCTCACTTTCTTGATACCTTTCACCTTAGAGTTGCAGCTTGTTTTCTCACAGAATTTTGTTCTCCTGTCATAATGAAAGCTTGTAGGTACAATTGCTGATGGATAATTCTGGGTGAATAATGGGAATAATTTGTTAATAATTTTACTTAAACATTGTATGAGCTAATATGGGTGTGGGCTCAGACTTGAGCCACAGGTAAAACAGAGTTTCAGGAAGCCCAAATGTTACTCACTGCATGTTTTTAATCCTGTTCTTACTAGTGAGTAGCTACAGTTTTAAGTCAGGAATTGGGACTCTTTACCTAATTTTAGCCATCCAGAATTTAAACTCAGAAGTCTTACTGTTTACCAAGGTGTACTTTATGAGGGAAAGAGCTCTTCCCAAGCACTTCCAGAAGACAATTCATTTTGTCTTAGACTTATCCCACTACAACACTGGGACTTACTCTCCAGAGGTGCCTATTTTTCCCCCAGCATGAACTGTGTCAGAAGTGCAGGTAGCTAGTCTGGACTGGAGACCCAGCTTTTAAATAGCTTGAGTGAAGTGCAATGAATCTTGTTCTGTAGCTACACTATAAATACACTACAAACCCTAAATTTTGTAAAGTTGACTGGGTTGTCTCCTCAGAAAGAGAACAGGATAGAATCGTTAAGGTTGGAAAAGACCTCCATTGAGTCCAACCTTTGACTGAACACTACTATATCAACTAAACCATAGCACTAAGTGCCACATCTACTAATTTTTTGAACACATCAAGGGATGGTGAGTCCACCACTTCCCTGAGCAGCCCATTCCAATGCTTAACCACTCTTTCAGTGAAGAAGTGTTTCCTAATATCCAGCCTGAACCTGAACTTCCCCTTGGTTGGTGCAACTTGAGGCTGTTTCCTCTTGTCTTGTCACTGGTTGCCTTGGAGAAGAGGCCAACGCCCCACCTAGCCACAACCTCCTTTCAAGTAGTTGTAGGGAGTGATAAGGTCTCCTCTGAGCTGCCTTTCCTCTAGACTAAACAACCCCACTACCTTCAGCTGCTCCTCATAGGACTTATGTTCTAGATCCTTCACCAGCTTTGTTACCCTTCTCATACAGCCTACAGCAGAAGGAATCAAAATCAGTACATGGTTGATTTTGTTTTCTCCTAGCCTGCTCCCCCAGTGCGTTTTACAAACGCTAATTTTCACTCACAACATCCTGGCAAAGGAGGTGCTAGCAAGCTTCAGCAGCTGTGAGAATTTAAAGTACAGGAAGCTTGAAGTACACACCTGGAGTGATAAAAAGGACTGAGGAATTGCAGATCCAGTTCTGTGTTTGTAAAGCATTTTTTTTCTGACTCAATAGATTTTTTTTTTACCTATTTCTTCCAAAGGTCTCAACATAACTACTTGAGAATCACTCGAATTCTGAAAAGTCTTGGCGAACTTGGATATGAGAGTTTCAAATCTCCCTTGGTAAAATTTATTCTGCATGAAGCTCTGGTGGAAGATACCATTCCCAACATAAAGCAAAGTGCTCTAGAATATTTTGTGTATACTATTAGAGACCGAAGAGAAAGAAGGAAACTGCTGAGATTTGCCCAGCAACATTATACGCCCTCAGAGCATTTTATCTGGGGGCCTCCAAGAAAACAAAAGTCAGAGGGAAGCAAAACAAATAAAAAGCCAGCATCTCCAATTTCTATTCCCAATAGTCATATTTCTAAACATAAGAAACCCAAAGAGCCTAAGAATACATCAGCAAGTGGAAGCTCAGCTGGTAAAACAACTGAAGAAAAAAAGGTAGAACTCACAAAAAATGAGGAAGAAAATTATCAGGATGAACAAGAAATGAACTCTGATGCTGTTAGGCAGAACAGTGAAAAGAACAGTGACACTGATACCAGTCAGCTTTCAAAATCAGAAGAAATTCATGATACTTCAGACAGAAAGGAGGATGCTTCTCATTCCAAAAAAGATAATGAAAATCTGAACAATGACTGTGGAAGTCACCCAGGCACTATAGAGAAAGATTTATGTAACACTGAGAATTCTTCAAATAACACATCAGCAGATCTACAAGATAACCTTGATAAGGATACGCTTTCAGGGGGGACCACCACAAAAACCAAGGATGAGCTCAAAGCATGAGTCTGAGGTTAAAAATCATTATGTTTCATATTTAATGAAGCAAATTATTCATTGCTCCTTCATTTTGGTTGGAATTTCCATCTAGTTTAGTATAAAATGTTGATGAGAATACACTTGTTGCAAATTCATCAGATTAGACTTCTGTTACATTAACAAATTTTATTTTTTTCAACCTCAGTTTATCAGCAGTAAAGCAGGTGTGGCTCTTTAAAACAATTGTGCATATTGAAAGCTAAGAAGTTCATTATCTTTTCCAGACAGATTGCATAGAAAAGCTTATCTACTTTTTGCCATTAAATTCATCCAGTATTAAAAAAAAAAAAAAAAGAAGTGTAACATTGAAAGCCTTGGAACATCAGAATTTTTAAATTAGTTTTAACATGCTTTATGTCTTGATTTCTGTTTATGAGATTACTAGAAATTACTTCAAGAGCATAGTTTTTACCCTAGGGTCTATTTTTTTTAGGAAGTGTTTTCATGTTTAATGGCAGTATTTGCACAGCATCTTTTACCTTAGATTAGCATATTTGTTGGAGACACAATGATGGATATTATATGTCATGTCTTATACAGCTGGGTATCATTGTACATTGAATAAAAGTTTAACTTACAGTGAAACTTTATCCTCAGCTTTTGGGTACAGGAGAAGTTGCACTTTAGACTTCTTTTAGTCCCTGTTAAGTTCTCCCTTCTCTTGGCTCATTTTTTACTACTAATCTGGGGGGAGGGATCTCTGATCACTCAGATTTGGTCTCATTTTGAAAGCTGTCGATCAGCTGTAATAAAACAACTCCCCCAGTTGGGTTCAGCACCTGGAAAGCCTCTAACAGCTGAAAAGCAAAGCAGTGTCTTCACCACAAAGCACTGCCTAATCAGCAAAACCATCAGAGAAAATGTCATCAGGCTTGTTAGGTTGGGTCTTACCTTAACTTGGATGTTTCTTGGCCAGTTTTGGGTAAGGTCTGAACAATGCTGAGTCCCCTATTGCTGATCTGAGAGAGAAAGGCAGTCCTGATGCTTCCTTCCAGCTGTCTGTTTCCTCCTTTTTGCTATCTTAAGTCTTTCACAGTTTAATGTTATTTCAGTCATCAGTGGAAACCTGAAGCAGGCCAATCTTCTGGTCTGGCTGGAGCCCAGCAAGCAGGAATTTCTCAGTGAAGATGTTTCTCAACTTTATTTTACTGAAGAACTGTCTGGTTTCTCTGAGTAGCTGCTTCTGATTTCCTACCATTCAGTCAAACAAGATAGTGCCCAGCAAATTAATTGTGCAGAATACTAATAAAAAAATAATGCAGGTGGAATTTACACTTCCTACAGTTCTAAAATATTCTAAAACTTCTGTATCTATTTTCTATTTAAAAGTCTATGTGTTATCCACTGCCTTTAATATATTTCTGATGAAATGTTATGAGGCAGGAGGCTGACTGCAGTTTGAGTGTCAGAGTGCTACGGGACTTTATTCAGGTCTTATAACTCAAAATGGTGAAGTTTTCAGGGGTTTCAGAGCATAGACAAAAAGTCTTGTACTTTTCTGTTTTGCTAATGCCCATCATGGTGGTGCATCATCCATTGGTTTCCCTGGGTAGCATTGGTTCTTGGGATCAAATAGAGTGGCGGTTAGGGGTCTTGATACTCATGGACAAAGATTAGGATCTTTCCATCCCAAAGAAGCAGGGAAGAGGGAAAATGTATCTCTCCTTCTGTGCTGACTTGTGAGGAAAAGAACTTACATACATGGGATTTTTTTCTGAGGTTAACCCAGATCACTCCGGTAGGCATTAGGTCTGTCTGAGCAGAAATGCCTCAAAGAATTCCTCCTGCAGCCACCACCTTTTTAAAGCTGGAAGGATCCTGAGAAGGCTTTCACAATTCCCTGGACTTGAACTGGGATACCCATGTTCATGTTCACCTCTGACCTTCAGAACAGAAGGGGGCAGGAAATAAAACTGTGATAAAACTGGTCTGCATAGTTAAGGATGCTGCCCCCCCGTGTATCCACAGGGAGGACACTTCACGTTCTGACTGTGACTTTTTCAGTCTTGAGTGCCTAACCATGCAAACTTCATAGCATTGTTTTTACACAGTTGTTTCTTGAATGGCATAGGGAAGATTTATACCCTGTGTATAAGGAACATAACTATTACATAAGTAGTTATACAGAGCCTTCAATTTACGGACTTTAGTATTAATGCTAAACACTTTACAGAAAATTAATAGTGTTCAGGGGAAATAAGGGATGCCAGGGCTGTTATTATATTTATACTGTAATTTGATTGAACATCAATGACCTCAGTAGATCTTGTATCTACTGAACAAAAAAAAGAGAAATCTTACTCTGATCTAAAACAAAGTTCTAGAAATGTGCATCCAGAAGATTTCTCTGCAGTGCACTATTCCATTATTGTGGCACAGCTCTCACCTATACATGCTTACTGGTTCACCATTCCTAATTAAGTACTTAAAATACTTTTAATCTGGCAGAGATGCCTGCATTAAGGGACCAGTGTATTTGAAAATGTAGTCAAGAACTTTGGTACTTACATCCTTATTAACTCTGCAGTTTTTAATTTATTTTTTTAAAACCCACAACTCAGTATGTTTCAGTTTTCATGAAAGAGTAGTGGCATATCAGTTACCTACAAAGAACCATGGGGACTGTGCAAGTGAGGGATTTTTTGTGTCAGGTGGGCTCCTGCCCTCCTTAATCCTTGTTTTACAGTGTTATCAACTGAATTGCTTCTATGGGACACTTCAACTTTAATTAACAAATTCTGCTCTATGTAAAATGTGATGGTTTACCGTTATTTTCATAGAGGAATAGTTTCTTCTGATTTTGCAAACGTTGAAGGATTCATTGCAGGGCAATCGTACAGCATAGCATCCTCTTGAGATTTGTGAGGATGAGGTGGGTGCACTGTATGCATTTCTTTACAGAATCATGGCCTTAGCAACCATAGCACCCCATGCTTGAAGTTCTGAGTATTGGTTTTCAGGTTTACATTATAATATGTGTTGAAATGATTGTATTCTTATAAGCACCAGTACTTAGTTATTTAATAATTACTTCAGGAACTGAGGGTGTGCAAAGAAAGTCAGGTCATTTGCTCATTGTTAAACTTTTTCTCTTGCTATATGCTTAAGTATTCAGGGATTTCTGTGTCCTTACTACAGTAATGTGTTTTGGCCCAGTGTTTGCCTAGAATCTGAACTATTCGTATATTAGTTGAACAGAACCTCCCAATAAGTCCATCTGAGTAGTCTTTCGTGCTGTTAAATAGGAGTAGTGTGTATATGCACACACCTGTGAATATGATTCTAAGTATCCTATGGTGAGGGGATATGAATGTGCAACTTGAATAAATATTACTGACTACACAGATGCAATTGAAGGCGATCGTACAAATCACACAAAAATATTGCACTTTAAGATTAGTTACAGCTCTGTGCCCTACTATCCCCGATGCAACTGTGCCTCAGTACCTGATACTGTGTTGGTGTAGAGACTGAAAGCTTGGGTACGTGAGATGTGCAGCACAGACCATTCAGATCAGAAGAGTTACTTGTGTGCACACATCTAGGAGCAGATCTGAGATCTTGGTGTTCGTATTGCTTGCATAAAATCCTGAAGGATGCTAAAAATATTTGCAGTAAGCCTTTGAGAGCTGTTCTGTGGCTTGGGCTAGCTCCTCAGTTTCCCACTCTAAGATTGCAGCACTCTAATGTATTAGGTCTCTGTATAAATCATAGTTAATATTTGATATAATCTAGTATAAACCTCCTTGAATTATTCCAGGATAATTCTAATAATGTGCAGTTTCATATAGCTGTACTATAACCAGAAAGTTTACAGACCTTTTGAAGTTTTGTATATGTTGATGGATGATCCAATAAGGTAAGTCAAGGAACATTTACTGGATTTAAATGGAAAACAGCTTGTTTGTTTTTAAATAAAATTTATGTATATCTGTTTAATAGAGAGTAGGGGTTTTGCACCTTTTTTTTTTCTGATAGTTGTGACAGTACTCATCACAAGTTATAGTAAGTTACGTATGTTTAAGTGAAAATGTAACTTTTATTACACCGTAGTTTTACAGGTAACATATCATATTGAATTTCCTTGAAAAAAGCTGTATTTATTAATAAGATGCAGGTATGTGAAGTAAGGTTCGCCATTAAAAAATTGTGACAGTATCATGCAGATCAATGTTAGGATTGATATTGTCCTAGGAACTACCAGTATGGATCAGAACCAGAGATGTTTCTAGCCCTGTGTGCTGCCTCCAGCAATGGCCCAACAGATGGTGTGAAATAAAGAAAAGATAAGGTGACCCCGTTTTTCTCCAGGAATTTTTCTGGTTTTGAACTCATGGTTTCTTTCAGCCTCTGCAATCCCTTGTGTCTGTGAGTTTTATGTTTTAAAAATATTTTGTGTGGAGAAAGTGATTTCTTGTTTGTCTCAGATCTGTTTATTCAATAACTGCTACTGCATTTGAGCACAGTACTAAAGGTACTGTAAGATGAACAGTAATCCACTTCAAGTCAGTTTTTAAATGCTGCGAGATATTCTAATGACAAAATACTTTCTTAGGCATAAAATGTCCCGTGTTTCTTCTGTCCTTTGGCAGAAGATGCCTGCCTAAACAGAAATTTGTCCCAAGCTGATGAAAATATTACCTTACGTGTCCCTTCTGAATAAATTTTTACAAATAAATCTTTTTGTATGAAGTACTAAAAGTCATATTCCAACCGTGGAACAGGGTTGGGTTTTTTTTTTCCTTTTCAGTGTAAAAGCAAAATCTGTTAAAGGGAAAACCCATTCCTAGCCAGCAACTGACTGAGGTACCTCTGGATTTGGAGACACCAGCATCAATGAGTCTAACATTGTGGTCATGTAGAACATGGAAGTACTGTCTAGGTTTGCTGAGAACCATACTCATTATTCCACATTTTGGTAATTGTTTTGATACGTGTCCCCAGATCCAACTGCAATTGAAGTAACTGCTAAAAAGGTAATTTTGATGGCCATCAAAGTCTGAAAATGGAAGATAGGTCAAAAAGGCCTAAGCATGGACAACCCCCCCTCCATTCACATCATGGTCAAAAACATATATTCACTATTAACGGATATTTAATGGAGTTCTCCAAGGGGAATGTAAATTGTGTTTCTGTAATATGTCTGTGCTCTGTATTGCCCATGAACTGTTTCTTTTCCTGAAAGCTGTGTTCCTTTTTCAGCCTGTGTTCTTGAGTATACTTACTTAAGACCATTGGAGAAAGCAAGAATTTCTTTTAAAGAATAGGTTTAGTATATGCCATATAGGTTTAATATATGCCATACCTAGTGGACTCCTAAAAAGTAGTTCAAAAGTTATAGAGATCAATTTAATAGAGACCTCCTGTGGCTTTACACTTGTAATGACCTTTATTTTTGTTTACAAAAGCATTAAGCTGTTTGCTATAAAATAAAAAATTGCAAGAATTGGCAAATTGTTCTGAAAGAATTCTCTTCTTAGAAACTTGGCACCTTTTAATTTTACCATGTTTACAAGTTTAATGGCGTATTCATCACCTGAAGTTTATTGTGAAATATACTGAATGTACTTACTACTGTGGCTAGCCATGTGAAAATTATTGTTTTGCAGTAAAAAAGGTTATGGCATTTATATTTTTGGGATCTGCTCAAGCATGTTTGCTAATCATTAGTTGCTTTTTTTTTTCTGTGTTTTAACGTATTCCATGGTTGTTTGCCCTTTATGCGGTTTGCTTTTGACAACAGGTGATTAGGTGTAGTTTTGCACTGATAAAATTCGAAAATATTGTAGATTTCATTGTTCAAATGCATTCTAAGAAAGAAGTGCAGTAAAAAGAAAAAAGCCAAAGCCCAACAATTTTTACTTGCAAAATGGAACAGCTATATGTTAGTTTCTATGAATGGTCCTGCTCTCTTCTCTGTATTCCTTTGCAATGTTTAATTACAGAATGCCGTGCATGTTTGGTAGTACCAATACCATATGTATGTGGTAGGAGTGGTAACCAGTTTCTGGATTTGTAATGCACTATAAAGATATATTTTATAATTCTGTAAATGTATGGCAGTGTTATGCCAAAAAAAATTGTATAAACATAAGAAGCAATAGTTTATGTTGCTTACTGCTGTATTTTAAATTGTTTGTAAAATGAAATACTTGGATTTCCTTTCAGGTAAATATATTTTTAATAACAGCAGCCAAAAACTCTGAACTAATAAAGCTTTTTCATTTAGCAGCATTGTTTTAGCAACATGTACAAATATTGTGTAGCTCAAATAATGTGTAATTGCTGTTCAGTGCTTGTTTGTATAGTCTTCTGTAAATATATTAACACTTAAAATTAGGGCATTAAAGGCTCTGGTCCTCCTTTTTTTGTTGTCAGTGGCAAAACGACCATGAACAAGCAGAGGAACAAGGGATGGCCCAGAGTGAACTTTACTAAAAGCCCATGGTTTGGTTTTTAATTTAAGAAAATTATATAACATGAAAGCACTCAACATTAAAGGGTAAAATATCCACTGTGATCATGCAGGCATAAGCCCTCTGGAGCAGTGCCAAAAACTGGCTACTGCTGCTTGAACGTAGCAGGGAAACATTTGACCTGCTGGTTGTATTTATTCTGTGCTGAAGCTGTAGGATTGAATGGCTTTAGCTCTGGTTTTGTAGTGCACTGTTACTCACACAATGGGACTGTAGACATATGTAGCTCTGTAAAGGGCCCAGCAGGTTTTGAAAGGGTTTCCAATTCTCACATGTTTCTTCTCAAAGTAATGAGAAACTGGTGCTCCTTACAACAAAGGAGGGCTTCACGCATGGTCTGTGTCTCAAATCAAGCTTGGTGTTACCATGGCTCTACTAATCTGCTTCCATCTTGTCAGGTCACCCAGGGATGGAGTTGAACTGGTAGGCAATAACATGAGGTGTCAGTGTGTTGGTCTCCCCAGAAAATTCAGTTACATGATGGTGGATGGAAGTACATGTGTATCTCTCAGGGCATGCATTTGCCTACTTTGCTTTATTTTGGGGGGGTAAAAGCTAAGAAATTTTCAGCTGCCAGGGTGATGGGGGCACACAGAGCACACTTGTGCACTGGTGGGGAGGGCACACAGCAAGGAAGGACTGAAGTGGCAGCACTTGAGTTTGTGCAGGGTGAGTTGGCAAGCACTTTCATTATGCATAGAGCAGCAGTGGAGACAGCCAAAATAAATCTAAACTACCTCTGTTGTTTAGGGAGCTAAACCACAAGATTTTGTTTTGAAATTGTTTTGCTGAAATATTTTTCTAACAGAACTGTACCATAAAACTGGGATGAGAATGTTTTATGTTCATATACACAGATGATCTTGAGCAAGGCCTAAAATGTTTATAAAGACCACTTTAATTGCAAAAATGTGATTTAGCTAACCAAACCTGGGAATACTCTTCATAAAATTCCATTTTAATTGATCTTTTTGCTTTGTTTGCCTGGGTTGGGTAATAAACTGGAAGAGAAAAATATCTTCGTTCCCTGGGGTCAATCAGTCCAAGTATTGTCCCTTCAAAGTTAAATCAGTGTGACTGGAGAGTATCTGCACTTTAAACATAATCCTCCAAAGAAGCAGCAGAAGTATCCACCAAAAGGATTTTGCGATTAAATAAAGATATATAATGGCACTGCTTTTTAGGTTTTAGATTCATATCTTCTGAGGTGGATCACGTTGTAGGCAAAAATCTGATATGAGTTTATTGACTCATTTGTACCCAATAAGCAAGTGGCACTTCAGCTCCATGATGGCTGTTCTTTACAATGTGTCTCTCTTCAGTGGGGGCAGGTAGGTTGGATGTTCAGAAACACTGGTGTCCCCAGTTTTATCCACAGCTCGGAAGGCTGTTGCTCCTGGCTGGCACGGACAGAGAGTCAAGCAGAATCTAGTGTCAGGGTCATAACATGGCCCTGCTCCCGCCTCTCCAAAGATGCTGTAATCAAACACACTTCATTGCCCCATAAGGAGATGAGCTGAAGATGTGGCCTTCTCAGAGCTGGCCTGGGATCTGGTCAAGGTCCAGAGCTGGGATGGGGGTTGTCCTGCCTTGCCACTGGAGTCTGCTTGCTGAAGGGCTACATTATGTGCCCTGTGGGTTTATTGACCTGCCCAAGAGCAATAATTTGCAGCAATTACTAGCAGCTCAGACCTTTCCTTATGGTTAATCTTGGTCTGTGCTTTATGGGGTGAGGTTAAAAATATTTTTCACTATGAAAAGCCAATTTAAGAAGTTTTAATTAGGCCCAAGTATTTACCTTATCTGATAAACTTTTGGAATGCTTTTAAAATATTTTTTACATAGTATGCATTAGACATTTATGCAGGCAATATTCTATAGACATCGTAATTTCAAGTCTTACTGAATGTGGGGAGAACATTTAAAATTCAACTGGCTCTTTCTATTTTTATTTAATGTATAAATCAGACATAATTCATGCATAGTTCCTTCCAGGTCTAGACATTTATTGAGCACTATGTATGGTTATAAACATTTTGTGACAGCTGTTTCAAACTTCAGAATGAAAAAAAAAACCCTCACATTTTCACTTCTCCAATTTCCTCTGAAAGCTTAAACAGGGAAGCTTTGAATTTTCAGCTTCCAAAAAGGCAGCTGAAATTAGAGCCTTGAATTATTTCTGAGAACCAGGACTTCGGATCTTTAGCCCTACATGGGACCCTCAGTCCATTGGAGGCAGCTCTGTAGTACTTAGTTAACTAAAAATGCAGAAGTGTAATAGAATTGTTCAAAACAACAAGGCGCCTAATGCTGATACTCTGTGAGTGCTCTCAGGAAGCCTATGAAGGGTCTCTCTGCTTCCAGAGGAAGCTCAGGAGCAGTCTAATCTTCAGTCAGTTTTGAAAAGATCATTATGAAACCCTCTATTTTAACTCTTCATTTAAAAATAGATTTCTTTCTATTTTTCTCCTTTTTTCTTTTATGATAAGGACACAGTGATAATGGCACCTTTTTTTACAGTTTAAACTGTGAAATAAACCTTTGTTATGCTGACATGCATCAACAACACCCCCCACACAGGTGGTCTATTCTTACTCCTCCTCAGTTACCACCATCACATACTCAAAGCTGGCACTTCTTGGTGATCGTGATGGTGATGAGCTGTGAGTACCCAACACCATGGAGCTGACACATGGAACTAGCACTGGTGGCCATCGTCTTTCATGGCCTCACACACTGGTCCTTTTAGAAGGCTGAATTTGGAGGCAATTCCCAGCCCTTGACTTCCCCCCAAGGCTACGCACTGCCTAGTCCTGGAGGGGACATTACTTTTCAGGCTGTGGCAGGTGCCTGACCCTGCTGCTTACTGTTCTGTCCTTGCTGAGCTGCTGCTCCCTTTCCCAAGGCAGAAGCAGTCATTTCCCAGCTTTCCATGTTACCCTGTTTTAATGATAGGTAACAGCCCATTGTTACCTATTTTAGGGCCTCTTTTCTCAACCACATATTTTCAAGGCTTTTGCTGTTATCCCATCCCTAAACTATGCAGATACCTGGTGCCAAGCTCCATTCACCCAAAAGGATGGTGACCTCTAACCTCTGTGCCAAGGCAGCACAGCCTTGCCAACATTGAGGAGCAGCAAAGGAAGGCCACAATCCTTTGGGAAATGAGCCCAGCTCAGGCCCAGCCTACATGGGGAGTACCATTGCTTTTAAGGACACATCTATAGATGATTGCACTGAGCCTTATTCCTGTGGCTTTATATCAAATTTTTCAAAAGACCACACTCAGGTATCAGAGTTTGTTTATGGTAATGAAGGACCAGTGCCATAAAGCTAGCAAGAATATGTCCCAGTAGTGCTTTTTAGAAGCTTTTCACCACTTTGGATAAAATGCTGCTGACAACATTTCAATCTTGAAGTCTCCTGCAACCATCAGATAATTAAGAAATGTTGCTGAGTCACACCCGCTTAGAATAAGTGCCTCCCTGGGGCACGACTGGGAACACCGATGCCTATTTCAGATGTGTCCCCAAACACAGCAGATGTGAATGATTGAGTAACATACCCAGTGGCACATTCTCCGTTGAGTCATTTGCTGCACTGCTACTGAGATAATGGGACTCCTACCAGGTAAACTCAAGGCAAAGTTTGGACAGAACTTTACAAAGATCTTTTAATATAAACTCAGAAGAATGATAAATTTATATAGTAAGAGTCACCAGTAATTGTAGTTCAAGGATCTTTGCTGGAGAGAATCTGACTCCTTTGTTGAAATTAGGTGCAGAATGAAAGCAGTGCCAGAGACAGCTCTCTCACTGACATCTGAGTAAATAACAGCAGGCTTCATCCACTTTTTTCAGAAATAATTTGGGAAATTATATAAATCCTAGTGTTTTGGTATGAGTGGACTAAAATCAAAGGTAAAGATAGGATTTTGCTAACTGGATCCTTTGGTATGAAATAAAAATATAAAATTTTAAAAATGTGAAATTTGTGACCAGATAACTCCAGTTCAGTGGTTGCCTAGCCCTAAATTGTCTTACCTATTAAGTCAAATGTTTCTGAAGTGCTTGATATCTCACTTGTGGGCAGTCTCTGATGGTAAAATTCCAGCATCAGGAGGCAGGTGGGAATTAATGAAACATTACAGGGTTTTCCACAGAGGGATGCTGAGAGAACAGACAGAGAAAGGAGTGTATTGAATTTGAGAGTTTCTGACCCAAGGATATTTTTGAAGTAATGGCTTGAGGATGAAAAGAGGACCTCTCATGCCATTGTGAGATGCTGTGTATAGACCAGAGGTGGGCACTCCCCTCCTCTCCTACTCTCTTTCTCATCCAGAACTGAATGGATGTCACTGACTTGGAGATAAGTAGAAATGAATGTTTCAAAAGAGACTTACATTGCATTCAACATCTTGATGCATTCATGGATCTGCAAATCTAATTTTACCTTCCTGTAACATGAACTAAAAGGTTTATTCAAAAGTCCTGAGCCTACCTTGAGCAGGATTTTCTCAAGGGCCAGCAATCACCCTTGTAGGCCCTAGTGGAGCAAAAATCCCTATGATTCCTAATTTTTTTGGTCCTAAATGCACCAACAGGCTCTGCAATATTCCATGAAGAGTTTGGCTGTCTGTGCTCAAATGGAGCCCTGATCTCGTGCATCCCTGTAACCTGGGATCACACTGCTGCAAAATGAGCTGTGACAGAAAACCATGAGACCCTTCACGGGGGGCCTCCACTGCAGTTGGGATTAAGTTCAGGCCCAGATTCCTGGGTTTTGCCTGAGCTATGCTGCAGCAGTGTCTGTGCCCAACCATGCTCCTCATTGAACCCAGCTGGATGGCTTGACTCATGGCTTGTCTGGACCTGCCTTGTTATTATTGT